AAATGCTCCTAGCAGCCCTGGTGTCCCCTGAATATGAGCAGCTCTCCCTGCTTGGCAACCTGCATGAACCAGATCTCTCTGGAGCCCTCCAGTGAGCCCGGCACTGTGCGTTTGCCCAGTTACTTAGGACAGAGGAGAGAGGTCCCAGCTGGGTGCCCCAGTGTCTGTCTCCAGCACCCTAACTCTTAGCAGTCACTATCACTGCACGTGGCAGACGCAGAACAAAGACCACTGGATCATACACTTTAAATCTGTTTTTCAAAATCATGTTATTTTAAATGTTCTGGGCTGATGCCCACGTGTTCAGGAACACTTTGCTGGGCCACAGGCGCTTTGTCTCCTTGAAAGGCCCCATTGTGACCCCACAGTGGCCCCAATTGATTCTGGGAACAACAGGCTCTTGTGTGGTCCCAAAGGCTGGTTTGCTCCAGCCCACGGCTGGCAGCACAAAAACTTTGCTGTCTCTTTAAGGCCCGTGCAGGCAGGACTTAAATTGTCCATTGAGGCTGCATTGCAAAAAACAGGACTGTGGGGTTCCCACATAGTTGCCTTTTCAGAGTTAAGTTGACTAGGCTCAGGTACTATAAAGTGGTCTCCTGATGGGCAGGTCTGAGAGGACCTACTGTGTGCATGCATAATGGCATGTCCTGAGAAAGGGACTGTATGGGCTGAAGTCCCTCCCATGGCACCCTGCCATTCTTGGGCAAGGTCACCAGGAGGAGGAACAAGAGGACCACAGCCAGAGAAGTCACAGTGGGGAGCTCCCTGTCCTGGGTGGATCTGGCACACACCACCTTTCGCTGTGAGCCTCACCTTCCCCTATACTGACCCTTCCTAGTTCCTAGCCCCATGGAGCTGTCTCTGGTTCAATGGTTAAGAGCACTGATTGCTCTTGCAAGGGACCTGGGTTCGATTCTCAGCACCCACATGGCAGCTAACAGCGGTCTGTAACTCCAATTCCAGGGGATCCAACCTCCATGGGTATTGCATGACAGGGGTGCAAATAAAACACTCGTACACATAAAATAAAAATAAATAAAATTTAAAAATATTTAAGAACCATTACATATATATTTATGTGTGTATCTGTTTCTCCAGATGCACACATGTGGAGGTCAGAGGACAACTTCAGGAGTCGGTTCTCTTCCACCGTGTTGAAGCAGAGTTTCTTGCTGTTTCTGTTTCTGCACTGTATATTCCAGGCTAGCAAGCTCTTGAGTTTCTGGGAAATTCTCCTGTTTCAACCTCCTGTCTCACCATAGGTGTGTTGGGACTATAGATGTGCACCACCACATATGACTTTCACATGAGTTTTAGGGATCGAGCTCAGGGCATCGGGCTTTCATGGTAAGTGTTTTAACCCACAACTCTGTTTAGTTTTTGAGACAGGGTCTCATGTATCCTGGACTGGCCCTGCATACTCTATGTTGCCGTGATTGTGAACTGATACCCCTGCCTCTGTCTCTGAGTACCAGGTTTCCAGCAGTGTGCCACCACACAGTTTATGTGGGATGGGGCTGAACCCAGAGCTTCATGCACGCTAGAAAAGCTCTCTACCATCTGAGCTACATCCCCAGCCTATGGTTTCAGCTTTCTGTTATTTGAGTTTAAGAACACCCAGTTCTCTGTCTCCCGTGTATAGTATCCATTGCACTGGGTTGACCTTTGGCTCTGTGGGCTGCAAAGGGAACGCAGGAGTCATCAGAGCCGGCACTGGGGTGACATGGCAGTTCAGAATAGCCAGCTCTTCTTAAGAAGATGACTGAGTCCAGGACCTGTGTCCATCCTGTCCCCTGCTTCAGGCCCTGCTAGTGACCTGAGTTGTCCCTAATGCCCAGCTTCATCCTCCACTATAGACCTCTGTTTATCATCATCATATCAACCAGAAGGTTTTGGTGTCACTTCCCAAGGGCATAAGGACAGGTCTCTGTGCCGTAGAGGAGGAGCCAAGCTTAGGGCCCAGGACCACCAGCTCCCAATGCTACCCACTGTCTGAATCCTGAGGTCCTCATCTGTGGAATAATATAGAGGCTACCACCTGAGGCTAGTGTTAGGAGGCCATATTTACATATCAAAAGTGCGCTCACAAGGGTGCCTGACCACAGGCAAGAGTTCCAAAGACGGCCAGCAAGATGGTCATACAGGTAAAAACTGGGGTGTTTGGGGTGCTTGAGTGTTGTAGTGCCTGACCTTTGATCCAAGTTAAGGACAGCTGTGAATGTTCTCTTGTCCTTGTTTAGGGTGACACCAAGCTACTGCCCAGAGATTTCCTCTTGTCCAAGCCCCCAACACAAATGTATGATGTTCCTGCACTGGTAACCTTTGGGGGCCAGACATCCTCTATCTCCAGGGAGCTAATGGAGATACACAAGGGTGTGTGGCCACTGCCTGCTTTGTGTGGGCTGACTTCTGTTTGACTCTTCCCAGCATTTTCCTCCATGCTGTTCCTCTTAGGCATGGTGGGTTCCCAGAAGGACAGAGCCCCAGTAGATGTAGTTACCTATCTGCAAACAGTTGTGCCTGCAAACTCTACGCCCCTGGGCATGGATAAAGGATTGAGGAGAGAAGTGGACATAGAGTAGGTTGGATGGGGAGGGAAGGAAGAGAGACCAGGGGAGGTGAAACTATGCTCACCCCATTGCATCCAGTTCCAATAGGTTGTGAGTCAAACGGGAACTCCAACTGCTAACTTCAGCAGTGGGCACCAATGAGGCAGCAACTCCTACTGGTCAAAGTGAGTGCTTAGTCTCAAATGGGACATCTATTTCAAACTCTTCCCACAAGGCTCAGGGAACATTGCTGAAGAGGGGATGGAAAAATTTAAGAGCCAGAGGATGGGGAAGAGCATGGTGAAATGTTGTTGTCTTCTGGATATGACACGGCTGCTGCACTCATGAATTCATTGCAGCAGGCAGCACTAACTGGACTCAGTCGGTTCAAATAAAGAAAAAGAAAAGACAGCGAGGACATGAAAGTGGGAGGGAGACATGTGAGGTGTCCAGGGGGAGTGGGAGATAGGAGTTAGGGATGGACAGGATCAAGATACATTGTATATATGTATGAAATGGTCAAAGAATAAATAAATTTTTTTAAAGACACTTCAAACTTTAATGACCCAGGATAGAAGGGATGAGAACTGTGTCAAAGAACCTTCCTCAAGTTCTTTTTAATCAAAGTTTCTGTACAATTTGCAACTGAAAAAAAAAAAAAAGAGAAAAAGACCACATGAAAGTTTTTGTTTTTTGCTTTGTCTTTTTGAGACAGGGTCTTCCTGTAGCCCCAGCTGGCTTGGAGCTCCCTATGTAGACCAGGCTGGCCTCAAATTCACAGTGGTCCACCTGCCTCTGCCTCTCAAGTGCTGGGATTAAACACATGTTGCCACCATGCACAGCTATGAAAGTTTTTTTTTTAATGATTAAATATTTAAAACATTGAGAAATCCTTGGGAGCCCACACTTTCCTTCCCTCCCTCCCTCCCTCCCTCCCTTCCACCAAAAAATAAGCCTCATTCACCCAAGATTGCTGGTTAGTGTAATGAAGTGGGGGAGCTTTTTGTTTGTTTTTTAAATGAGACTTTTCCCAATCAACATTCAGTTGCTAGTTTTATCAAACATATGACACACTTCCTACCACCTCTTAATTTATCATTTAATTTTTAAAGATAAACCTTAACTCTATATTTTGCTCATGTTTTATTATGAAATTTTGGCTGTGTTAAATGGGCAACTGGTAGGTTTTGGTACCAGTGCTTGGTTAACAAAAGCCTTCCTGATTCGGGGCTGAAGGTATGGCACATTGATAGAGTGCTTACTTAGTACGCACAGGCTCTAGGTCTACCCTCAGAACCAGTGGGGGAAGGGCTGAGGGGAAATCCTCAAACTTAATTTAGTTGTAGGACATATCTCCTAGTTCACCAGAGAATACAATAATAGAATCTTTGTTCTCCTGGAAGATGGGTTCTTGTGTATGTCACCTGCATACGTACAGATCTGGGAGCTGATGGTCTTCTGGGTACCTGGTCTGGGGCTCCAGCTCTGGAATGCCATCACTTCTTTAAGCCAAGGAGGATCTCCTAACAGGAAAGCCGAGCTTTCTACATCTTGACTTGATGTTCTCCTTCCTAGTTATCTTGTCTTCTTTTAGCTCAGACATCTCCCACTGAAAGGTGGCAGCCCTCACTCATCACTGTATTCCCCTTCACATTCCTAAACCCAGCTGACTATTCACATGAACAGGCCTCAGACACCCGGACCATTACATTTCAGACAAGTCTTACAAAGAGTGAGAGGAAATGTCTACACCTAGTTTCCTTAGGCTGATAAAATTCTAATTGAGAAGACTACTGTGTCTGACAAGGAAAAGGTGGGGGCCCCTGGGCTGCCCCTCCTCCTGAGGGAAGTGTCAGCGTGGTGGAAGTTGCTGGGAGAGTGTGGTTCCCAGAGAGTCACTCTGGTAGAGAGTAGCCTAGCACATACATCATCATCAGAATCACCACTTGAGATTCAGACTAAGTCAAAGGGTTCTTCAGGAGGAAAGCTGACAGGAAGGTGTTCTTGATGCCAAGGAATGAAAAATAATCCTTCCAAAAACACAGAAGTATCAAACATAAAGGCATTTTATAAAGTATAAAGGGTCTCATCTTCCACTGTAGACATCTGGAGATTGCTGTGGGGTGACTTTCCGTCTCTGTGACAGACTATCCACGAAGACTGAGAGACATGCCAGGGGATGAGTGCTCAGAAGCATGAAAGAGTCCAAGAGGCAGTTCTTAAGATCTGCTTCAGGGGTCAACAGGGGATTGCCATTTCCTTCTCAGATCAGAGTCCCCAGTTCTCACCCACCTTGCCGGGACTCTGGCAAGACAGCTCCACAGCTAGAGCTAAACATAGGAAGCCCCAACCCCTGACAGAAGGTAAACACAGCATGGAGAGAAACAGAGCATGGCTTCTTTTGTGTTTGTTTTTGTTGGCTCGGGTTTTTTTTTCCTTCACCATCATGTCTGTGCTCTAGAAATTATGCTAGAAGATGTGCTGATCAGTCAGTGCTATCTGGGTTTCCTGTTCCTGTTCTTCCACTTTACGAAGACTTCCATCTGATTAAGGAAAACACAGCATGGACCACGTAGAGCAGAGTAGCCACATAGGCAAACACCTGGAGGCAGAGGAAGACCATTAGTAGGAGGCCATGGGGGGCACATGGGGTATGAGGGCTACCTGTACTGTGCCACGTGGCACTGGGGGACAGATTGGAATGTGTGGGCTGCCACTGCTTCTTGGCACTCATACACAAGTCCTTTCCTGCTGAAATGGATACACACCTGAGTTCTTTTAGTACAGAGCTCCAATTAGTCTAACTTATGCTGCCCTGGTCTTGGTGTGTTTGGGAAACTACCACCATCACACAGTATTACTTTGGGGTTCATTGACCTCACTCAAGGACATCAAAGTCCCTTCCAATGAAAGTATCTCAGAAGGGTGTCAGTGACTTTGTGGAAAACTTCCCTCCCCTACACCAAAATCAGTATCCCCAAGCTCTGACACCAGAGGCTGGGCTATGACATTATGAACACCTATGTTTGCTGCCTCTGGTTAGGTCTCCACATGCTGTCTGCACATGCTTAGACCCTTCATCTTAAAAAAATTTTTTTTGTATGTGTATGTGCATAAAGTTTGTGTGTGAGTGGGTTGTATGGACATGTGTGTGCAGGTCTGTGTTCATGCTAGAGGAGGACATTGGATACCTTTTTCTGTCACTTTTTGCCTTTTATCTTTAGTCTTTGAGAGTCTCTCTGTGAATCCAGAACTTGCATTTTTGGCTAGACTGGCAGCCAGTGAGCCCTAGCAATTCTCCTGTCTCTGTACCCACCCTAGTGCTGGGGATACAGGCATGTATGGGATGTCTGGCTTATTATGTGGGTTCTGGGATCTAAACTCTGGTCATCAAGCTTGTACAGCAAGTACTCTTAACCATGGAGCCATCTTTCCAGGCCCTGGCTCCTTACTTTTAACCTTGGATTCTTCATTTCCCAGGAACAGGCGAGGGAGCTAGGCTTCATGGGAAAAGGAGGGACACCTAGCTTCTCTCAACAGGAAGTGGCTCACTGAGAGGCTGTTGGGGCAATGCAGCCAGTCACTTTGGCATTGGGAACACAGGCTATGTACCTGTGGTAAACAGTCACCGGTGGCTTGCTGGGCTCACTTGGACACTTATATTCCTTTCACCCTACTCTGGGTGGCTAACCTCCCTAAAAGCTTGCTTGCCCCCAAATCCAATATTTGCACCTGGTTTTGTGACCTTGGGCAGGGGTCAAGAGTTTCCAGCCCAGGCACAATATTTATGGCAGCCAGGCTTCAGTGATTCTTAAAAATGCCCATAAACAGCAGCCATGGGTGCACAAGTTCTCCCGGCCCTCACACCTGGAGGGAACACACCACCCTCATTGGCCAGAGGCGATAAGTAGACTGAGCTAGTGACAAATTTTAAGAGCTTATCTGGGAACTCCTAAGTACCTTGTCTGAAAGGAACATGCCCTAAGTGCCCCTTGGGTGGGACTTCCAGACTCAATGGGAACCCTGGTGGACTTACAGAAAGGACTGAAAGTAAAGATTTATTTTGCAAATAAGGTTAAGAACTGGCACACAGGGGACATTTAGAACTAGGGACACGCTGAGACATGTTTTGACTTTTAGAAACCCTTCTGTGTAAACTGCCATGATTGCCCTTTATGCTGAGATCTAGAAGTCTCTAGATTGCTCCAGAAATCTCCAGCTCTCCTTTGTCAACTGCTGCCAAAGATCTTTTCTGGCAAAGAAGCTTTACCACCAACAAAGGGCGGAGTGAAGAAGCTCAGTTTTCAAAGTGGGTCCTAATTAGGATCAGAGAGAAAAACCAGAAGACAGGCTGAGTGGTATGTGAGAGACTTCTGGGTCCTCCTGAGACCTCAAGACCACCAAAACAGCCATCCCTCTGAAGCACATGCTACGGTTGCACAAGATCAGGTGTTGAGTCCTGAGTATGTGATACCTCCTTCCCATGTACTGATCCAGGGGATATCTTGAATGGAAATGACTTTCCTTGAATCTGCAAACATTTCACCTTATTAGTTATAGTTCAGTGCACCTGCCAGATGAGAGCACTCTGATTTTTGATTCTAGCACTTCTGACTTTGGGCACACTCATGTCTATCCAACTCCAGTAATAAAACAGGGACGTAATCAGCTTTGGCATGGATGAGTAGATGTTGTGATAGGCCTCCAATGGAAAACTACATAGGAATGAGAATAAACAGTCTATATCTATACCCAATCACATGGATGAATCTGACATGCATAAGTTCGAGACAAAGGAGCCAGATGTAAAAGAATGGGCTCTGTATGATTCCATTTCAATGCAATTCCAAGGCAGGCAAAAGTAAACTGGGTGCTAGAAACTGACTGGTGACAGAAGTGATGCGAAGTCTACAGAGAGATTCCAGGGTGCTGTTTATTGTGTTCTCTCTCTCATGCTGAGGATCACACTGAAGGCCTTGAACATTGCTGACAAGTGCTCTACCGTTTTACACATCAAGGCCATATCCTATTTCTTTATTATTATTTTATGTGCATTAGTGTACATGTGTAAGTGCACATGTGTCATGCAATGCCTCAGAAGAGGGCATCAGATCCCCTGGAACTGGAGTTATGGATGGTTGTGAGCTACCATATCAGTGTTGGGAACTGAACCCAGGTCCTCTGCAAGAACAGCCAATGCTCTTACTGCTGAGCCATCTCTCCTGTGCCCTGTATCATATTTCTTAATCTGGATATTGGCCATATAGGAGAATTCATCTTCCAAAAATTCATCAATGCATACACTCATAACCTGTACACTTGTCTAGATAAATACTACCTTTTGCTAAAAAGTCAAAGAGGAAAGTTGGAATGCAGTAGAGCCAGCTGGCTCTCAACTAGAGACTTTATCAGTGGGTAGGGGTCTTAATTCACTTCACCTGGGTTTTTCGATCAAGCACTGACCTCTAACCATATCCCATCTACATTTCATTACTGTTATCCACAAGGATTTTGGGGGAATTGTTGTCAAGTGCTTTGGGATGTGTTTTAAGTCAAGGCTTCTGGGCCTGGCAGGGAGAGGTCTGAAGTGCTCCTCTGACAGGGAGGCGAAATGATCATTTGATGGAGGTGGAAGGGACAGACCGATCATCAGCCTTGGGGAAGGAGGAAAAGTCAGGTACTGCCTGGCTGTGTTGCTGTCTGGAAACCGGCCATGATAAAAGGTGTTCCCATGCTGTGGGACACTGGGAAGGGTAGTGAAGGGAACCTCACCTTACCTCAAGGTGGTCATGTATGGAGAAGTGGCTTATGGGGAGCATGGGACCAGACAGTGTCCCATAAAGATGATGCTTTGAGGAACTCTCCCCAAGATTCTCCTCCTGGAGCCAGGAAGAAGCACCTTTCCCAACATCCATCCTTGTGGACTGTGTTCAGCCTCTGCTCCACCCTTCCACAACAGAGGTGACACAGATGCAAGCATCTTATGATCTGCCTAAGGATTCACATGCCACACAGGTCAATTTCTAGAAATCTGAGAAACACTAATTCACCTTTCCCCCCTTATTTTTGAACATCACCCACAGTTAGAAATACATTTTATACTGAGGACACTAAATAAGTGAATCAATGCACTGATTTGAGGATACTACTCTGAAAAACATTTCTATGAAATAACACAGTCTTAGTCCTTATTCTGATCCAGTTCACTGAAAAAGAAAACCCATCTGGCCTCAATGTGCCTTGCCCCAACTATGTGCCTCAATGGATGACAATTGAAGAAGGTCAAGAGACCCAAGAATATAGACCCACTGCTCCAGACTGGTGCTAAGAACATGGGTGCCCACTGTCCTGGCCTTGACACTTGGTAATGTTGGCAAAGAATCCAGACTGGCTATACCTGTGTCTTCATCTGTGAGTTGGGTATAATAATAGCCCTAGTCTCACAGGGTTGTTATTGAGGGCAAATAAGATCATTCAGTTTAGGGCAGTTAGTGGCCCTCCTCCCTCAGATGCATGCCCCTGTACGGAAGGCCTAGCATGAGCCCTTGTGCCTACATGGACCTGGGACCATGCACCTCTGACCAAACAACTACGGGCATCAGGGCCCATTTCATCTTTCCTCAGGGACTTTGCTGCTTCAGAATGAAAGGAAGGTTTCATTTCATCCCAAAGGTAGTGAACTAGTCAAGAGGGAGATGTGCTGGATGACCTTCTACCTGGGGCCTCTGCAGTGGGTGATGGGAGCAGCTCGTGCACATAGTAGGAGCAGGGCTGTGGGGGGACTCACCACGGCAGAGATGTTTTCATGGTAGTGCTTGTAGGTGAAGCCCTCGTACATCATGATGGTAGCCAGGGCTTCCAGAACTGAGGCACTGAGGTAAAACAGGGCGGCCACACAGTGGTAGGTTGCATCCTGTGGGTCAGAAGGGTCATGTCAGCTATGAAAAGAGATACCCCGGCCCAGACCTGGAAACATAGTCCTTGAACTGCCTGCTCCCACCCTTGTCTCCAGATACTTCCTCTGAATCACCTCTCATCACCCTTGAGGATCCACCAGCCTCTCTCCTCTCAGAGGATTAGAACAGCTGCCTAGCGAGCTGTCTTTCACTGGGCAGGATCCACACTGAGCCCTCTGCTTGGCCTGAGGTGGGAACAGCGAAGAGCTCAGGATGTGTGCTGGATAACCTTCATTGTCAACTTGATTGGATTTGGATCATCTAGGAGCATCTGAGTGTGTCTTTGAGGATGTTTCTAAAGAGGTTTAACTGAGGACAGAAGAGATACTCTGAATGTGAAAGCTGGCTCTGAACTGTGCCCCTCCCAGTGGGCAGGGGGACCAGACTGAATAAAAGCCAGCAGCGCACCAGCATTCATTGCTCTGCTTCCTTAAGACTGACCCTTTGTGATCAGTACCTCACTCCCTGCTGCTAATCCTTTCCCAACATGATGGGCTGTCCTCTGAGACTATGCACCCAAACAAACCATTCCTCCTCTAGTTGCTTTCATTTTACCATAGCAACAAGAAAAGTAACAAATACAGGGTCCCGTGTAGAAACTGGATCTGGACCAAAGACCAACATGTCACACATAGTCACAGGCCTGGCTTGAATGTGGGCCCTTTGCCTAGTTCAGAGCGAAAGGAACCTGAACCATTTCCATTGTTTTAGTTTGCTGTGTTGGTTTTAGTTACTATTTATTTTGGCTCCTGATATATTTCAAAGCAAAAATGAACCAAAATAAGGTTTTGTGTGGTTATAATTTGGAAGTGATTTCAAAAGTCTAAATGGGGGGGGCTTTGGAGAGAGTGAGGCCTGGCCAAATGGTCTGCATCCTCTTCTAGACAGTAATAAGCAAGTTCCCCTTATGTAAATATTGCCCTTCAGATCAGGGCTTCAGAACAGAACGTATTCAAAAGAAAGATCACAAGCCATTTGGGGGCTCAAGTCCTCTGGAAAGCCTGCTTGGAAGGCAATAGGTGTGGAGACAGTTAGGAAGCATGATTGGCCACACAGGGACCACAGCTCAGAGCCAGCTTCCAAGACTCTGCTTCTCCAAGGTGACAGCAACCCTCCTGGATGATGAGAGTAGCTGACAGCTACCTGGCAGGTGCCTGTGGGTGAATGGGGTTGAGCTGCTGCCTATGTGTAAAAAGGCATGTGTAAAAACCCTATGACAGCTGGGGGTGCTGGTTGGTGCACACTTTTAACCCCCAGCACTTGGAAGGTAGAGGCAGGTAGATCTCTGTGAGATTGAGGCCAGCCTGGTCTTTGTAGAGAGTTCCAAGTCAGCTGGGATCACAGGGAGACCCTGTCTTAAAAATACAAAACAAAACAAAACAAAACCCATGAGAACCTGCAGCAAATATATGAATCCTGTCTCCATTTTCTGACCTCCTTGTTGCAAGGAGTCCTGGTTGCTATGAAGAGTCTGGACTGAGGCTGGACTGGCTCAGTCTTGGACTGTGCTGGGACATGTCTCCAGGGAACCCCCACTCAGAGTTGGTAAACAGTCTCCTGGGATGAAGGTCCAACTCTTCCCCCCTCCACAAATACCCCAGGCCAGAACTCACCAGGGTGATCCAGGAAGTCTCCCCACCATGGGTGCCAGTGATGTACATGACCAGCAGGGCAGTGGTGGCCACGAAGCAGAACACAGACACGAACATCACCCAGCCCTGGATCAGGGGGATGGGCACCTGGGAGGAGGCGATCAGGATCCATACCAGGCCACCGAAGATCTGCCAAGAGGAGGCAGGGGGAACATTAGAACAGGGCAAAGCATAAGTCTCCAAGATTTCCAGCCCCAGCCCCAGCCCCAAGTAACACAGGGACACTGGGGGTGCTCACATGCAGGAAGGGCACAAAGAGAATCCAGTAGGCATAAGCTTCACCCAAAATGACTCTTCCATTTCCCAAGACTCCAGGCTAGAGCTCCAATCTCACCTTTGCAATTCTCTGTTGACTTGCTTTGCTTCATTTCTTATAGTTTTAATATTTTTAATGAACATTTGTATTGTACTTAGGCATTGCCCTAGGGAGCTCACAAATATTCAGTTAATTCTCATAATGGTGCTATGAGTGAGGAATTGACTCATTTGTCAGATGGAGACACTAATGAGTATGAAAGTAAAAAACCTCATCATTCTAAGAACTTATTCCATATTATCAAATGAAGGGCTACCCTTTTATTTTATGAAATGGTAGCAACCAGCTAGGAATGATGGTACATGTACATTGGAGAGGCAGAGGCAGGAGGATAGCAAGTTCAAGGTCAGCCTAGGCTACACAGTGAGTTCAAGGCCAGTTTAAGCTGCATAATGAGACCCTGTATCAAAAAACCAAGGGCTTGGGATTAGAGAGATGGCTCAGTGGTTAAGAGTACTGGATGCTTGTGCAGAGGACCCAAGTTTGACTCCCAGCACCTGCGTGGGGGCTAACAACAGTCTGTAACTCCAGTGCCAAGGGATTTGAAGTCCTCCTCTGACATCCATGGACATTACATGACATGGGAGCACTTATACACATGCAGGCAATACACTCATAAACATAAAATAAAAGTAAAGTGATTAAGAGCACTGATTGCTCTTGCAGAGGACTGGGATTCAATTCCCAGCACCCACATGACAGCCAACAGCCGTCTGTAACTCCAGTTTAAAAACTCAAAGGCTGGAGATGTAGTTCATGCAGCTTATAGACAAGTTCACTTGTCTAGCAACTACAAGGCCATGAGTTCAAGCCTCAGCACTCCCCCCAAATCATTGCAACTAGTAATTTCTTTTTAAAACTTAAAAAAATCTATATTATTTTTAACTTCCCAGAAGTTCTTTTAAATTAAAAAAAATGGCCATTCTTTTAAATTAAAAAAATATTTTATTTATTATTTTTATTTTATGTGTATGAGTATATTGCCTGCATGTGTGTAAGTCCACCTGTGTGATGCAATACCCATGGTAGTCAGAAGAGGGTGTTGGATTCCTCTGGAACTGGAATTACGGATAGTTGTTAGCTGCCATATGGGTGCTGGGAATTGAACTCGAGTCCTCTGCAAGAGCAGTCAGTGCTCTTAACCACTGAACCATCTCTCCAGCCCAAAATTTATTTTTATTTTGTGTGTATGAATGTTTTGCCAGCATGCATATAAGTGCACCCATGTCCTGCAATACCCACAGAAGTCAGAAAAGAGCATCAGATTCCCTGGAACTGGAGTTTAGGAAGAGTGTTAGCTGCCAGGTGAGTGCTGGGAACCGAATGACTCTAGATCCTCTGCAAGAGCAGCCAGTGCTCTTAACCACTGAGCCATCTCTCCAGGCTAGCAAGTTCTTTAGGTCTTTACTAGGTATAACACATTAGCCACGTTATGTTATTTGCATTTTTTCAGACTTGACTCTTATAACTCCGAGTTCAGGAAATGCTCTGATTGCTACAGTTGAGATTAGACTGGAGAAGTCCCAGGTTAGCCTGGTCTCTTCAGATAGTTGGGACAGGTGTGAAAGAAGCAGCTCCCAGAGTTACCCCAAAGACAGCAGCAGATGTTGCAAGGGTTGGTGGGTTCTTGTTTCCAGAGAAGAGCAAAGGGATAAAAGAGGCCAGAAACCCCTAGGGTGGCCAAGCCAGACAAATACAGCTGGGATTTTTCTCTACTTCTCCCTGGTCTTCAGCTCAGTGGGAACTCATCTGAGTGTCCAGGGCTGGGGCAGGCTGCAGCCTGGTGTTCCTGCCACTGTGGTGAGAACACATGTGGTCGCTGGATCTGCTGCCCACCCACTGGGTAAGAGAAAGCACTGTCTTCACAGGTGTCCCCAGAGCCTCTTGGCTGCGAAGCATCAAGGGAGTCACATCAGATGGGAAAATCAGTGCAATAAAGAATTTGAATTTATCAAAATGTTGTGCAAATGAATCAGATGTGGGCCTGTTTGACCATGTTTCCTTCATCAATGATCCCAGATTGCATGCGACAGACTCAGTGGGGCATACTGTATACCTTATAAAATTGGAGCAAACACCAGGGGGAGTGGCACATGCCTTTAATCTCAGCGTTCCTGGTCTACATAGTGAGTTCCAGGCCAGCTGGGGCTACAGGGAGATCCTATCTTTTGAGACAAACCAACCAACCGCCCAAACTGGAGCAAAATTAACTAAATAAAAATCTTTAGATCATCATAGAATGAGATGCGCATAGAGATTTTAGGTGGATTTAAAGTCAAGCTCATTCCTTGGTCTTTTCCACAGTGACCAAAGGACATCAGTGTGTCAATGACTGAATACCACCCTCATTTAGGACATATGGAGAAATGGGACAGTTGGTCAGGTCTGTCCATCTAGTGGGCAGAGAGAAGCATCAGTGTGGGATGTTGCTCTCCTAGGTGCCCTTGGTCTTGTCACCTTGAGATTCTCTGAGAAGGTCAGTCTACGTCAGGGGCTTTGTTCTTCACATGCTCTATGGAGTCCTGCACATCTCTGTAGCCCTTGGTCCCAACAGAGAGGGATTTGGCTAAAGGCAAACTGGCGTTTTGTCTTTAGTCAGAGCCCTCTGTGCTTTACCTACTTGGGTGGTGCTGAGAACAAAGTCATCCTTGCTTACAGAGGCTGGCTCCCTGGGGGGTGCTGGGAGGACCCATCCAGGTTAATTAAGTGTCTGTGGCCAAACTAGAGCTACTTATGAACCAAACCCTTAATGGAGCAGCTTGGGTTGCCGGTGTATGTGGGAGCACTCCTCTATGGAGTCTGTGTGGGATCTGGTGGGCTAGAGGCACTTACAGGTGTTCATAGACTTGACATTGACAGATACTGAATGCCACAGAAGAAAGCAAGTCTGTCAGTCTCTTTCTTTCCCAGTTCCTACAAAAGGTCTGAATAGACCTAGACATCCAGAGTTCCCTCAGAGCACAGCCAGTGAAGGTGGCTATATCATTATTTTGAGGGGAAACAAATGGTAAAATGCATGCAAGGTAAACTAGTACTCACAGGGCACCTGAAAATGGCAGACAGTGAAATGATTTTTGAGTCCTGATCTGCAGGGGCACAAACTACATCTCACATTACTCCTTTAAGCCCCATTCTAACCTATGCGCCTTGAGTAATTATGGTCAGGAGTCAAGGGCAGGACAACAGGCGAGTCAGAGTGAAGTGACTCTGAAGGTTTGCTGTGGTCTACTACCTGTGTCTTCCTGAATGCCAGCACAGGGCTGGCCCGGAGCTTCCTCGAGGGTGGATGCAGGATTAAATCAGGCTGTTTGAGTGTGTACTTTAATCAATCTGATGAAGACATGCCTTGGCTTCCTTCCGACCCTCCCTTTGAGGCGGATTCCTGGAGTTTACAATCAGAACCTCTGTCCACAGTTGTCCATAGAACAAAATCCACCCTGTACCCAAGTCCAGTTTCCAGTCCCTAACAGACCCCAGAACATACCTCAGGGTTTGTACCTAGTAAATAGGTACTTTTGAAAATTAGTCTTTTCTTTTTTCTTTGAATGGCTTATAGATAGTAGTAGGTTTCATAGTGAGTTAATGGGAAAAGGGGCCCTGTCCTTTCTATTTCTGAGTTTTTGAGACAGGAGCTCACATTGTAGCCCAGGCTAGCCTGGACCTATGTAACCTAGGTTGGCCTTGAATTCATGGCAATTCTCTTGACTCAGCTTCCTGAGTGTTTTAGTTATAAGCTTGCCCAACATACCCAATTCTCTTTAAAACAGCTTTAATGAGGGGCAGTTCTCAAATGTTACAATTCACCCACTGAAGACTTACACTTCAATGGTGTTTAATAGATTTACAGATAGACATCACCAACTCACTGGCTCCTAGGGATATTCTTAGATCAGTCTCCTATAACATGTAACATCTCAAGTGATATAGGGTACTCAGCTTGGAGGAGTCATTACAAGTCAGGGCTTTTGCTCCTGTCTGAAAATGGGTCTTTCCTATCTCCTCACAGCCTGCTTTAGCAGGTAGGGGCCAGGGAAGGGAATGCAGGCCTGCACTGACCCAGGATGGAGTCAACAGGGGAGAATTTGTGAGGTGAGGGTGGTAGAGAAGTGTCACAGCTCCACTCAGAAGTCAAGAAGGAGGAAGGGAGGGGCTGGAGAGATGATTCAGCACTTAAGAGCACTGGCTGCTCTTCCAGAGGACCTGGGTTCGATTCCCAGCACCCTCAGCTAATGTCTGTCTGTAAGCCCAGTTCCAGGGGAATCCAATGCCCTCCTCTGACCTCAATGGGTATGGCATAACACAGGTATACAACATACTCATATACATAAAATAAAAATAATAAATAAATTTTTTTTAAAAAAAAGGAGGAAGGAAACAGAGTCAAGCAGAGTACCTGTAACACTTGACTTGACCCAGACTCTCCTCCCTCCCCTTTGGGTCACGGCCCTTCAGTCAGGTCAGTTCTACTGTAGAGGCTCCTCTTTGATAGCTGCAGCAATGGTGGGATACGAAGGCTTCCACCTCTGCACCATGCATGCACCGTGCAGCAACTTCACGAAGTCCTAAGCCTCTCCACATGCAGAGGTTGTGACTGATGGTTCAGCCTCTCCAATATTGATCTCCTCATTGTAAATGGCAGTTTGCAGATGTCTACCTGCTCTGCAGGCTGTTGTGAACTGGCTGAGTGGGTGTGGGCGTGAAGCTTCTGGCCCAGGCCTGGTGTTACCCAATGAGGCTATGAGCTGAATGGAAACAGATGAGCAAGTAGCCAGGTATAGCCAGCCCTCCCATCCATGGATTCCACATCCATGGA